CTAAATTAGGTAGATTTCACTGTCAGGTATTTCTGTGACTTTGCAGATAAAACAGGGTGCAGATGTACTTATAAATAAGTGAGGTAGTATAATGTTTTTATTGGAAGGCCATAGATCTACCTTAATATGTTTTAAGGTCTCTTACTCGAGGATAAAATGTTATAAGCTGCAATTGTTACTGTAATATTTTTTCTGGTAAGAAGTAGGTGTGGCCCCCTGATGAATTTCCTTAATTCACCCTAAAGCAGTTGATCTTTGGCTTAATCCCACTCTATCATCCATTCCACGGCACTGTACGGTTGCGAGGAGGTTGGCCTGAGTGCCAGCTACCACTGAGCTCTTGAAAGGCCCTATGAATGTCATCCAGTGATCAGATTCATGAGTGGGCAGGGATACCTTTGATGATGTCAAAAGTCCTGACAGGCTCCTGTGATGCTAAATGGGAGAGTGGCTAGACACCTCCACATAGCAAGAATGCTCTACTGCTTCTAATTGGATTTTTTGAAATATTGATTTTGTCTCATTAAAACTGTGCTATTGAATCCCTGTTAAACAGCCAAACTTTATATATTAAGTATAGGTCAATTTTATTACTATATGTCTTATTAATGTAACTTCACACACCAGTGTCACCTACGTTCGTCAGTAGAGAGAATTTTCTCAGCAACAGCAGTCTGAGCTTTTGGCTCTGACTTTGTTCAAATCTTTAGCTGACGCACCTCGCATTCCAAAGGATGTAGAAGTCAACCACCTGAATCTCTGGGATGAAAAATGATGGAGCTGCATTGTGATCACTGAGAACTTGCTACAAAACAACATTGTCCTTACATAACACTATGATGTTATCCGAAAAATGCACACCCAATGCATTTTTTTTTTCTTAAAACTAGAAAGGCATTCCCAAATGAATGGCAAGAGCCGACAGATTAAGTCTCAAATTGCCAAATCATGCAGCATGTAATCAACACAAAAATATTAACACATTACTTTACTTTGGATTTCCTTCAAAAGCCTGGAAATAAATTTTTCAATTTAGCTTGTGTGATTATCTCAATTATATCTACTAGGCTGCCGCAAAGCAGCTGATAATTAAAGTCACTCTTGGTGTGAGAGTGCCTGTGTCTAATGGAAGTAAAGGGGAAAATACATTTTTGTGCTTTCAGGAGGCAGACAGATCACAGTCCCCAGAAAGTCATGTTCCCTAGGACGTGCAGGTGGAACCTTGTCTGCAGAATTGCAGGCTCCTCTTGTGTTGTACAACCTTAAAATAGGATTGGTGGGCAGGTCAAAGGGTATGTGCTTTACTTAACAAATCTTTTGTCCTGGAAGGAAAACAGATTCTATATATGTATTTAAACTTTTTTGTATCCACTTGTCTAGAGTTGTTCTATCATTATGCATAGTCCAGACCAGAAGTGTTTAATATTTATTTATGTCAAAATGATCATGATCAGCAGTATGCCCTATGAATATACATGGAGGTTAAAAGGGTAAGTTTTACATTCTGACAATCTAAAAAGGCCTTAAAGTGAAAGGCAAAAAGACTTTCACTTTAATGCAAATCTCCACAGATGTAGGTAGTTGCCCCCCTATTGATCCAGTTTCTTTATTTAGCTCTCTGGAGTCAAAGGAAAGCCCTACAGGTTCCTGACTAGCACAACACTGTGACAAAGTCAAATAACATGCTACCCCATATCCAGAGGTAGCAGGTATTTCCTCTGGCCTACATCAGGATAGCAGCAAAATCAATCTCCTACAAATGGATCTTTATTTCAAACTGTAAAGTCCATAAAAGCAACACCCACTTTTATGTTTCAACCCTTCTGGGCCTTAGTCATAGCATTCTTTGGCCTCCTGGACATGAAAGCAGTAGCAGGGAGCAGAGGAAAGGCAAATATAACCTGGGGTATTTGGAGGATTAAAAGGGCAAACACATTTGCTTCAAGTAAACCTATGCTTATTTTAAAAGAAACATGTACAGAAAAGAAGAAGATGGAGGCTGCCTGGCTGTTTCAGACTTCAATGCTTTCTGGATCACTATGGTGAGAAAAGCATACAGATCAGGAAAGTTGGAGAAAGTCAGAGGTCCTAATCTACATATCTTTTCAGGTCAGTGCCTCAGAATGCACCGAATCCATTGATTAAGAATGACAGCCTGGCAACTTGCACTTCCAGAAGGAAAGGTCAGCAATGGAGGCCACCATACTTCCTCAATACAATATAGGCTTCTTTTTACATTTGTAAACTAGCAGAATTGATGAAACATGGAAACTTTGTTTTTGCATTTTTAGTGAGGTAATCTAATACTTTATTAACCTAACAGCAAAGGGTGGTGGAGAGCAGGCCAAAGTTCAGCTTCTTAGATGAAGCCATTTGTGTAACAGGTTTTAAAGCTCCTGAGTCTTTCTGAGGTGCACTGCCAATCAAGGTATCTGCATTTTATTTGTATTACCAGATTAGCCACAGCTTTAGGATTCCCATAAACCTAATGGTGGACAGATGTTCATGTTTGATCTGTTCACAATATCTGGAGTGACAAACAGGAACGTTCAGATAGATGAAATGTTTATGTACAAGTGAAAAGGAGAAGTATAGGTGGGAGAAGAATATCACTGGAAGACGCTAAGCCAGTCCTTAACGCAAGGTGGGAACATTATTATTGATCCAACTACCTGACGATTTGGTCCACTCAAAAAGGTAATTTGTAGTCATGTGGGGGGGGAGCGACAGATATATTATAATTATATAAATCACCAAATCAAAAACAGAAATCAACCAGACAACCATCATCTTATGACTATGGGTAGCTTAATACAGCTTCATACTAAATATTCTCAGCATAGCGCTAAGGAAGGTTGCAGTCTACATCTACAGATCTAATGACTTCTCATTACCTCTTCCAGTTCCTGGCGCTGCAAATCATAGAAGAGAAATCATGGGCAGTGAAAAGGACAGCTCATAGGGATAAAATATTTAAATTACAGAAAGGGACAGAAACTCCTGCATACGTTATCCACATTTATTTTACAACTTACAAAAGATAAGACGGAAACCTTTACTTCACTAAATGGAATGAGAAACTTATCCTAGAGTATACATACAAAAGATCACACAGCAGACATAAAAACATACAACATGGTGGTCTGACAGCTGGAGGAAACCATAAATTGGATAATGGACTGGGATTTCAATTAAGGCATATGTTAATGTCCCTATACTGGGGTACGTATGGTATTATAGTCCATATAATAACTGAAATGACCTAGGTCTAGGCATAGGATGTCCAACCCCTGGGTAGTAATGTATGAAAAAAAGAAAAGAATATAAAGCTGGGGTTTTTTGGATCATCAAACTGACAACCTTCAGACCAAGCGTTTCTTTAGAGTAAAATGTATAATTTTATTTGATTCAACATGATGCGTTTTTTTAAAAACAATAACAACAGACAGTGATTGCATAAAAATGACAGCACAATTTCCCACACAAGCTCACTCCACCATGGTGAAGACTCATAGACCAATTAACTAATTTGATAAATCACATGATAAATAGGGTTGATAACCGAAACACAATTAACATTAGATGATAAATAAATAAATAAATATAGGTGGAGCTTGATGTTGTCTCAACGTGACGTTTCGCGCTTGTGGCGCTTCTTCAGGAGAGGAGAGAGAAAAGCTGTCGTTGAAGTCTGTGTGCGTCCCTCAAGGTTCAACCAATCGTCTCTCGGTGTGATCTGCTAGGGTGGGTCCTCGGGGTCCCCCCTCGTCTCCCCTCCCCTACCCTTCTTCCCCTCTGGTTTTCGTCATCTCATTTTTCTAGTCGGGTTGAACCTTGAGGGACGCACACAGACTTCAACGACAGCTTTTCTCTCTCCTCTCCAGGCTGCACCTGAGAGGGCTGTGCAGTTTGCTGGGGGCTTCCTACCGAGAGAGAGACGGCTACCCCGTGGCTTCCGAGTGGTACTTTTCAAATCCCTTCGAATCACCTTGTAACGTCTATGATGAGCGGCCACCTCCGTCGTCTCTCGGTGTGATCTGCTAGGGTGGGTCCTCGGGGTCCCCCCTCGTCTCCCCTCCCCTACCCTTCTTCCCCTCTGGTTTTCGTCATCTCATTTTTCTAGTCCGGTTGAACCTTGAGGGACGCACACAGACTTCAACGACAGCTTTTCTCTCTCCTCTCCTGAAGAAGCGCCACAAGCGCGAAACGTCACGTTGAGACAACATCAAGCTCCACCTATATTTATTTATTTATCATCTAATGTTAATTGTGTTTCGGTTATCAACCCTATTTATCATGTGATTTATCAAATTAGTTAATTGGTCTATGAGTCTTCACCATGGTGGAGTGAGCTTGTATGGGAAATTGTGCTGTCATTTTTATGCAATCACTGTCTGTTGTTATTGTTTTTAAAAAAACGCATCATGTTGAATCAAATAAAATTATACATTTTACTCTAAAGAAACGCTTGGTCTGAAGGTTGTCAGTTTGATGATCCAAAAAACCCCAGCTGTATATTCTTTTCTTTTTTTCATGGTATTATAGTCAATAAGGCAACATGCAATGCACAGAGAGCAGTAGAAAAGCCAACCAGAACCTGTTGCTCATTTGATTTCAATAAACTGAAATCTAATCAGCTACAATGTGCTGCCACAGTTGACCTCCTTTTGAAAACTGGTTTCTAAACTATCCACCAGACCAGCACTGAGACCTGTAGAATGCTTCTTACATTTCCTCTTTATTCTTTGTTGGGCAAGAAATACGCAGGATATTCAGTCTTTGAGCCCAGATGCATTTGATGGATCATGAGAGAGTTCTGGGCATCACAAAGGCTACTCTTCACCTACATCTATCCATCTATGCACAGTAAATGATTGTTTGCATTGCTGAATATGTGCCCCACTGGAACAATGCACTAACCTTAACAGTCAGGCACCTAGCATTTTCTTTTACCTATAAATACAACTTATGGTAGCCTACGTATCTTATACTGTACTTACCTTACGTTGCTCTCTTTGCTCTGCATTGAAGAAGAAACACTGGGAATTCTGCAAAAGAACACAATTCATTATTAAATCAAGATATGGGAATTTGCCACGCAGCATCTCTAAGATCCTCTATGGTAAATATTTGTGCAAAAACATAACGCATTCTTAGCTTTTAGCTTTCATCCAGCTCTTCCATTCACTTCCACAATCTGACCTTAGTGTGCAGGCCAGTGTCTATCTCGGTTGCAGAACTGTATGATCATTCAGAAAGGAGGAAAACATGGACTCATAGGACTCGCACAATGCAAAGCTGTAAAGAACTATATAATGTGGCACGCTTCAAAAAAAAGTGGTTGCTGTTTGTAAAGGGTAAGTGTACTTTCGTAATTTTTACCCCCCCCCCAGGCACGAAAACGCCTCAGATAAATTTGTCCACAATGCCTGCAGCTGCATAGGTGAATGAGGGCTTGTTTTTAAGTGCTTTTACTTCTCGTTCGGAATATCTAAATACTTTTGATGTGCATAGTCTGGGCAGAGGTTCACTTAAATAATTTAGTATAACAAAAATACATTTAATACAGTCTATGTATGTTATGATAAGCTTAATGTTTTATACAGCTACATAAACTTGCTGATTGTATACGTATGTGTTATCTTCAGATATATCAGACATATCAATTTAGAACAGAACGCAACAGGGTCACTTCAATAAGACTATCACATGGGTTATCACTCCTTAAAATCACTAGCTTCAGGCTGGCGATAATCATAAACTGCAATGGGGTGTCAACTGAAGACAGTAGGAAAAGTGAAATGTAACGTTACAAAATAATATTTTGAGGGCTAAAATAACTTGCTTATATGCAATTCTGACAGTTAAACATCCTTTCCAAACAACAAATGTGCAATTTTGGGGAACATTATGAGATAAAACAAATAATGGCATTAAAGTAAAATACCTTTACATTTAAAATACCATATACCGGGTCGTCAATGCTCCTTACAATTTACAGCTGGTGCCTAACTTTCAAGGTTTCCTATAGTTGGTGTCAATGGAGCTGGCACCTAAAAGAATCCTGCTGCCTCCTGAGTTCCATATTAAATTTGGCCACCCCTGCCATATACAGTACATAGAAAAATACATAAACTGTAAATGTATTTGCTCCATTCAGCAATACCTTTCATTTGTTGAAAAATCCATATTCAGTTGGTTTTTTTTAAACAAAAATTAAACATGCCCTCTAGTCATTAGCTACATTAAGGTGGAACTGGGTGTTGCAGGTCCCCCAAGGCTCTTGCCATAATAGCAGACTAAAGTTGGCCATACACCTCAAGATTTTTCTTGTTGAGCCCCACAGACTCTTCATGTTGAACATTAAAGTGCTTCAGCAAACACGTTTCCAAACGCCCAGGTGGAAATGGGGTCTAAGATTTTGTACACATTTTGTTATGATGCACATGGAATGAATATAGCCAATTTAAACTGAAAATGTAACTATGGGCAAAACAAAAAATGACATATATGATGAAGAAGTCTATCACTAGCATTAACACAGCAGCCAAAAAACTATTAACAGTGACTTATTGGGGCTATATGAGAAAAAAAAATGAAAGGATATCTGTCCTGAATAAATATTTATTGAAAAAATATATATTAAAAGCATCAAAGAGACATACAAATGGCTGATATGCTATAAAAAAAAAACCAATAAAAAACACAAATGATTGGCCACTCCCCTTCCTGGCCCCATACTTCCTGAATTCCAGGGTTCTCCTGCACAAACACGTCATCCCATCGGCCACCGTGGCAGAGGGACTTGCAGTTTGAATAGAACAAAAGTGCAGGGACGTCACTGCACTTGTACTCCATTCATTCTTCCGCCTGTCCTTGCTGCTGAATGTCCATACCTCAGTACGGACATGGATGGGAAGAATAGGCTGCAGGAGCCAGAGCATTGCACTGATCGCGGTTTCTATGCATTATTGGCTCCAATTCAAAATAAATAAATAAATAAATAATTTGCACATTTTTTCTTTTATGAAGAAGTCTGCATTTATTAAAAAAATTCAAAAAAAAAGGTAAAGTTTCCCTTTAATCATTTTGATGCGTTTTCATGGTCCATTTATGAAAATATAGAGTTTACCTCATTATGCAGGTCTTATTCAGGTTTTAATAATTAATCTTTGCCTGGATAACCCTTTTATTTGGAATGAAAAAACATGCAGCTGCCACAGGCTACTTGGTAAGGACAATTACTACATCTTTGGTGTAATTGGTAAAATTAAAAGGAATCTCCTTTCCCCATGCAGACAGAAAACATGCCGCTATGAGCACAGTGTAGTGATTTATCCTGAGCACTCACTGGGGAGCAATTACAAACTGTGACAAACAGATCTAATCACAGCAGAAGACTCTGCAACACAGCAAAAGACCTGCAGAGATAAACATCCCGGGGCCATCAATCTCCAGGGGACCAAAGGATGGTCGCCAAATCTAGCCAACCTAAAACAAGGCCAGAACCTCTGGTGACTGTCCAGGACTGTCCTCCTGGCCATACAAGTGTGCCCAACTTAACCCTTAAGTTTTTATTTTGGATATATGTTTACAAACCAACCCCCATTGCATATTTGGGCATCACAGGACTAGGAAGTGAGGGAAAATCTCCCCAATGGGATAATTTACATTAAAAATAAAATTAACTTATCTTCCCTGCTACTGGTGGCTCATCCTTAAAGTGTTTGTAAATACATTAATGCAATCCCAAAATGTGTTTGCTTTTGTTACATTTACCTCTCCTATACATTTCTCTTATTCTTCTAAACATCAAATACCTGGTGAACATGCCAGCAGCCTCAGCTTCTGGAAGAATAACAAAGATGAAACCCACAGGTTACTTCCTATTTTTTTTGTTGTGGTGTCATCCAGCGATTCCCTGCATGATGTGTACAAGACATGGCGACCTGTACACTCCTGTACTCAGTGTGATTAAGCAGGGTGCCACGCCTGAAGGCCCACCCCTAGCTGTAGATTGGCAGCGGCTCCAGCATGGAGTATTGCTCCAGTAGCCTTTAGCATAGCAGTTGACTCTGCCTCCATCACGCTATGGTGCTGGAGGATGTGGTAATCCAGCAGGTAATACATAAATACACACACATATATGCATTTGCAATGATTCTTTAAAATGTATCGTGCTGAAGTGAAGTAGCAGTGTTAGGCTACGTTCACAGAGGCGGCGATAAAAAATCCTTGATACACATTTTTACCGACGCCTGAACCCCCCAACACCAGACACCTACACACCAATGTGCTGGCCCAGTTAACGGGCCTGCACAATAACTGCATATCAGCCACTTGGCACAGGGCTACGGCGTAGTATTTCGACGCAAATTCCCGATTGGCATGAAAGAAAACCCAAACAGGCATTCAGGAAGTGGTCATGTCGTCTCACGAATGCCTGAAAACCACCAATCAACTGCCCCTGAAAAGCAATCCATAGTGGACTGCTTTCCAGGAGGGTGGTAAAGCCTGCTGCTTGTGTGAAAGAGGATGGGTGGGTTAGATACTAAGGCTTTATAAATGGTCTACATTTCTATCATATAAAAACACAATAATGTAATACATAAAAATACAAAAAACAAATAAACGTTACATGAAAATTGAGACTTTAAATGTAAACGTTACTAGAATAAACCAAAATATGTTCTCCAAAGAGGAATAGCGTTTTTTTGTTTGTTTTATCATGTACATATGATCAGTTTAGTATAAGTTATTCTATCAATGTGTGTTAATGATTTAAAAACCTTGCATAGTTTGTAAGTATATATTTACTTATGTTTCAACAGTCTCCTTGCCTATACAGTACAAATTGATTGTTTCTCTGCAAAGTGCCCGCCAGCCCCCAACCCACTTATACTCACCTTTACAGTACCCGCTTGCCGATTCCAGCTGGGGCTGGAATCTGCTGTATTGGCAGCCTCTGGTGGTGTAATGTGACTCCCTAGGTCAAAGGACAGTGCTCGGGCTTGGCAAGTGGCTTCCAGGCTCAGCACTATCACAAGAGTGCAGGTCACATGCTTCAGCATACCCTGCTATTCTTACTGCTGCCAAGGAGGAAGGAGTGGCGATAGTGCACAAGGCGAGTATAAGAGGGTCTTGGGATGCTCTTTGCTGAAACACAGTCAACTTGCCCTGCATCAGCAAAGTGATAGCATCTCTTTAAACTTTGCTGATCTAACTTGAATTATACCAGACAGCATTTTTTGATTAAAAACAATAGACTCTTTGCATTCTCTAATGAAGTAAAACACTCACAAAGCACAGGTAACCACAGACCATATGATCATTTGCCTAGTTCATATGAGGGTATTCAGAAGCAGCATCATTTTTTCAGAGGGCAAAAGACACTTTTTTTAATCCGAAATATTAGTGTGCATTGGCAAAGCTTACATGTTAGGGTTGCACAGATACCAAGTACAGTACTCGGTACAAGTACGAGTGCATGTACCGATACTTTTGAGCTCCAAGAATACACTAGAGAAAAATTCAAAAGTTAGGAGGCCGCTGTCATGTGTAAGGAGCACACGGAGCTCCTGGGATTTGTGCATCTCTGTTTTAATGTACGATTTTGTTTTTATAAATATAAATAAAGGGATGCACAGATACCAGTTTTGCGAGTACGAGTACTGGTACTTGCCGAGTACTTACAAGTACGAGTACTGATACATTTTTGTTGATTGTCATGTGACAGTTTTTCTAAAACAATACAGACTAATGATTTCAGGACAGTGGTGGAGTGTCAGAGCCAGGTCCCAGCTGCAACCTCTGCAACCCTGGTAGTTCTCATGAAAATGCCAAGTATCTGCACTGGTACTCGAAAAGTATCTGTGCATCCCTATTACATGTGTCCTGTTGATTCATGTAGTGTTTGACTTTAATGAAAGGCCCACTTTAAAGAAAAAAAAAAGCATACCAGGAAATGCTGCTTTGAAAAGAACATTAAAAGAATATACACAGAAGAAGCACCACTGATAACGGTGTGCAGTAGAGAAAAAGTCTTCTA